CAGACGCTGGGTCACCCACCCTCGGATATCTCCTGGGTGGGAAGCATTCAGATCTTCCTGCTGTTCTTTATTGGGACCTTCTCTGGCCGCGCCACCGATGCTGGGTATTTCAAGGTTACACTTGCGGTTGGTGCTACGCTTGAAGTCTTTTGTATCTTTATGACTTCCCTGTGTACGAAGTACTGGCAGCTATTCCTGGCTCAGGGTCTTGGTCAGGGTATTGGATGTGGACTTATGTTTTGTCCGACCTTAGCTCTTATTTCGACTTATTTTGTGAAGAACCGTGGCATTGCTATTGGTATTGTGGCTTCGGGTTCGGCGACGGGTGGGCTAGTCTTCCCGGCTGTTATCATGCGTATGCTGCCGCGAGTCGGGTATGGATGGACAGTGCGGACGCTGGGCTTTATTTCGTTGGCCACATTGATTCCTTGTGTGCTTTTCCTGAAGCAGCGTCTTCCACCACGGAAGAGTGGCCCGCTTGTTGAGTGGGCTGCTTTCACGGAGATGCCATACCTGTTGTTTGCTATTGGCATGTTCTTGAACTTCTGGGGCTTGTACGTCGGTTTCTTCTATATCGGCAGTTTCAGTCGCAACATTATCGGCGTTTCCACTGACAGATCGATCGATCTGCTGTTGGTCATGAACGGAGTCGGTATGGTCGGTCGACTTGTCCCCAATTTGCTCGCTGATCAGCTCACCGGACCTCTCAACCTGTTGATTCCCTTCAGTTTCGCCACGGCCCTGGTGGGCTATTGCTGGGCGGCTGTCAAAGGCATGGGAGGGTTGTGGACATTTGCTGTGTTTTATGGTCTCTTCGCAGCTGGCATTCAGTCATTGTTCCCCGCGACTCTCAGCACCCTCACAACTGATCTCAAGAAGATCGGCGTGCGTATGGGCATGGTGCTCAGCGTGGTAGCTGTGGCTGCTCTCATTGGATCGCCTATTGCTGGTGCGCTGGTTGAGCGTGATGATGGCAATTATCTCTACGCTCAGATGTTCATGGGGAGTGCGATCATCGCGGGTGGAATCACCCTCTCTGGGGCCCGAGTGACCAAGGTAGGCACTGGATTAGCGCGAGTATAAGCAAGGGATCAGGTGTAAATAGCATATCATATACATATAGCATGGCATACATAGCTAATGAATAGTTAATGAACAATGATCGAAGCCCTAACTTCGAAATCGAAGCGTTGTGGTTTGCCAAAAAAGTTCCACCCCCACATGTGATTAATGCCTGCGAGGTGACTCGTTTCCACTTTTTGCCTGATCTTCCTTCAACACTCGATACATTTGCACATTCAGGTACTGTAAGTTTCTCTTTTTTGAGTCTTTGAGTCTCTGCTATTTGGTCCCTGCTCTCTGGCGCATTGTGTCTTCCAGAGCCACCCCGCTTTACCCCTCTGTGAGCCTGAAGCCCTTGTGAAAACCTATTCTAACCTCACGTCTTTCTTAGATACTCATTGCTCCTTTGAAGTCAAAGAAATCCCCCCCCGAACCTCTACTACAACTACAAAATGGCGCGCGGTGGTCGTGGAGGAAAGTTCTCCAAGCCCTCTCGTGGAGGTATGATCGTGTGACAAGCAAAGAGGGTGCAATGACGCTGATCAAACGATAGGAGGCAAGCATTTCAGCAGAGATCTCAACCCCCTAGACAAGGATGGCAACCAAGTTGGTCTCTGGCGGGTACGTGGACCAAAAGCCTAACGCACAGTACAAGGACCGCCCATCTGACCCAGCTCTCCCCACCACAGGAACCAGAGGACGGTATCAAATCATCCAGCGAAGAAGAATCCTCGGAGGAGGAGAGCTCCTCAGAAGAGAGCGAGGACGAGACCAAGCCCGAAGCATCCACAGGCGCAGGAACCCGTGAAGAGCGCCGCGCAGCCGCCAAAGCCAAGAAGCTAGCAGCCATGAAAAAACGTGGCCAGCAAGCTGCACAGCCCGGTGACCTGCCTCCCTCTGACTCGGAAGAATCCGACGACGACCTCCCCGCCAACCCCAATCACACCGCCAAGTCCCGCTCCATGACGTCCAAGACCGCCGATGCACCCACCGCGGAGCCTAAGAAGCCCGCTAAGGTTAAGGATATCTCGCAGCTGTCGCGCCGGGAGCGTGAGGCTCTGCAGGCCCAGCAGGCGCGTGAGCGTTACCAGAAGCTGCATGCTGAGGGTAAAACTGATGAGGCCAAGGCTGATCTTGCTCGTCTGGCTATTGTGCGTGAGAAGCGTGAGCAGGAGCGTCTGCGCAAGCTGGCTGAGCAGGAAGAGAAGGATGAGCAGGCCAAGGAGCGGGAGCTTATTAACCAGGAGCGGGAGGCGAAGTTGCGTCAAATTGCCATGGGAAAGGGATCTAAGAAGCTTGGTGGTAAGAAGAAATGAGGGATGAGCGGTGTTTCTTTCCAATATTGAATGGTTATGTGATTATGAAATGCATGCCCAGGTAGGATGTGGGTTCAAATGATGAATATACAGACCAAACGAAACGTTGATATACTCATCTATTAGACACGAGTAACAAAAATGCCTAGCCCTGAAATGGAAATCATGTACACCGGCGCCCCCAGCATTAGATAAACACAGCATAAGTAGCTCTTTTTGAGATAATGTATGACCCAGAAGAAAAAGGAAAGAAAACCATGACAGGGCATATCAAGGTTCATACACGGGGGTTATATCACCCCAGACGGAGAAGAGATCATATCAGGAAAGCAGAGTCTATTGCGCTAAGCTTCCAAACTTTCGAACTTCCTTTTCACACGCCCCAGAACAATCCCTCAACGCTGCGGCCTTGCATAACGATGCCCCAACCAGCAATCAGACTGACCAGCCACATGATAGCGAAGATGAGAATAGGCAAAAGGAGTAGCTCGGTGTTGTGCAAGAAGGGAAGAGCATTGTATCCCAAAAAGGTGATGTAAGTGTAGTAAATGAGGGCGGAGAGGTAGAGCGAGTTGCCAAGGAAAGTCGCCAGGAAGTTGCTCGGGCTGCGGGTGAGCAGGGGCAGGAGGAGGAACTGCACCACATATAGATGAAGGTAGAGGGGAAAGAAGGCACGGTTGGACACCTAGCAGAGGTCAGAATAGTCCATCGAGTAAGTGGTAAGCGGTCTCACATCAAAACAATATCCAAACTCCAATTGGTCCTTCTCTCCTGGCTGCATGAACAGACCCTGTGCGGCACCCCTTCTCCGGCCACGGGAGCCCCGCAGGCCAGCTAGAGAGGCCGCTGCACCATTGGGACCAAAGAGCTTGCCAATCACAAAGTATCCAACTGTTGAGATCAAGAGCGACGAGCCGATGAAGTGTACGAACACGAAGAGGAGTGTTAGGCGTACAATTGCGCCGAAGGAGGGGGTGTAAGCAAGGCCCCAGGCAAAGGCTGTGAGGAGAAGGAAGAATGATAGGAGGTAGGTGAATGATGGATCAGGGCGATGCCATGTGTTTTTGGTTTCTAATCGAGAGGTTAATGTTGATCAGGGTGGTTGGTGACTCCGGGTCATGTCCACTGGTGCCGGGACGCCGATTGAAGTAGCACTCACGTTTCTATAATTGATAGTCGCATGGTTAGCACAGTACAAGAGAACGGACTCGTCAGTCCCACTTACATGGTAGTATATCGATTTGAAGACCTTCTTGGGCGCAATCAACAAGGATGTCATCTCCCAAATGGCCATCTCAAAGTCCATTTGAGGGAACTTGAAGAGTCTGTTCCTCCCATTGCATATCAGCCACTGTTCCCTTTCACTTGTCTCGTCTTAGCTGGTCCCTACCTTTTAAAGAAGCGCGGCATGCGTACACTCGAGCCGCGGGTTGCAGGCGTTGAGCCGAAGTTGGCAGAGCCGGCATGTTGGCGGGGCAGGGAGATGTGAGGGTTCATGATCGAAGACCCGGTTGTTCAAAGAGCTCCCCGGGAATCGGTGCAATGTAGCAGTTGTACGTGTATCCATGCAGGTGGCCCGTTATGTCATCGGGATCACGTGAGGAGTGTATATCATTGTGTTGAATAACATCATGTTTGGCAAATCACTCTACAAACTTGCGTGCCTGACAGCAATTCTGCAGCTGCACGAAGCTGGACTATATAACACACCTCTTTCATACTTCCGGACCAGTGGTCGTTCCATCATTCCACTCGTATCGGAAAAGCGTACTGTACATGTACGGAGTTACCTCTTCAGAATCCACTCTGCAAGGGGCTAGAGAATAGTCAATGGCTTTTGCCTTGACATTCTCAGATTGACCTATTTCGTGACTTAGAGTTGGCTGTCGCATAAACCCAGTTTGGTTCTGATTCTGGGTTGATTCTTCCGGTGATGATATATCACATCTGAAACCTCCGAACACACACACACACCAGTTCCCTTGAAATTGCCGATATTGGATCCATCCCCCCACTACTCCACCTAGACGGAGTCCGTACAGAGTCAAAGACAATTTGGAAGCTTCATGGTGATAAGCAGAACTCAAAAGGCTCCATATATAAGCAATGAACCTGAAACCCCTGAATCTGCATGTATAGTGTGTGTTGGCAGGTCAGGGATCCTCGAGTAATTTCCCCTGTTTCGAAGTGGTCTTTTCAATTATACATGAACTCGTGTCTTTTACAAGTCCAGTTCATAATCCTCGAGATTAATTGTTCGGTAACGTTAACTTTAATTCGGCCAAGTCTCAGGAGTTCGTCCCGCCCCCGGTTTCTCTCCTGCAAAGGCCAACGGCATTTCACACTCTTTGCGGGTTTAGACCCTTGCTTGCGATGAACTGAACATTCATTCCCAAATCGGAGGGATACTAATCCAGACGGCTATCGGGCTCCAACTCCCAATTTGATTTTGGCCTGACTGTCTGGCCTTGGGCATATTAGGTACGTTGCAGTATGCGCTGGCAGTCCCTTGATCTTCTACTTCCTGTCCCACGTCAAGGGCGATTGCACCTGTGCTAGTCCCCCTCGCGCAAATCAAAATCGATACCCCTAGAGAAAGTATTAACATTGCCTAGCGCGATAATGTCCCAGCAACGGGAAGCACAAGCTGCCAATTCCCCTCCTCGCACCCCTCCCTCTCAGACCGCAAGATACAAACCCTCTAAGCGCGGATATCAAGCCCGACCTTCCGTCCGCGATGCCTTTCCCGACGCCCCCACGGAGAATACCGCAAGAGTCAGCGAATCCGGAGACGAACGAGACCCCCATGACCTGTCTTTGTCTCCGAAACATGCAGCTCGAACCTCTATCGTCGATAACATGCTCCTTTCGTTGGACCAATTCGCCCCCAGCTCGTCCGTTCTAGATGACTACCGCCTGTTTAATTCCGCCTTTGAATCCGACCAGCACAGCCATTACTCGCAGGAGTCGAATTCACACGGCAGATACCGGGGCCACACCTTCTCATCGTCATTGTCATCGGAACCCGACTATGGATACGATGATGGCAGTGGCCGGTATGCAACTATCACAGCCACCAAGGGCCGACGAAGCAACAGCAGTTCCAACCATCAAACCGCACCGAGGAGGATGGGAAGCTCTCGCGGCGGGGACGCAATGAGCTCACGTGTCGGTGCTGGAACCATGCCACGAACAAACAACACCCGTCAAGGTAGCAAGGGGAGCTCATCGTCCACCGTAGACTACTCGTTTACAATTCCGAGAGCACGGACTGATCAGGGCTTGGACCGACGCTCAAACAGTTTCGACTGCGGACCAAAACGAGCGTATGTTCCGTATGCGGAACCTAGTGTTGGTCAGGATCCGATGTTGTACGACGATAATGATGCTGCGCCCACTCCGAGTGTCCCAGCTGGACCGCGAAAAGTTCCCGACTATAGTAAGACACCAACTGCTGCTTCTTCGAGAACACCAGTGGCATCCCGGCGAACCAGCCCGAAATCGGCTGCACCCCAGGTTCGAAAGACTCGCCCTGACAACATCGGCACGGGGACCCTGAGAGTTCGGGATAATGAATTCCAAACTGTGGATACGGATCTTGAACCCCCTCCAGCCATCTCGGATTCGTTGGATCCTCCCGCTCCTAGCCCGACTATTTCCTATAACAAGCCAGCTTTCCCTCCAGCAGACCCGGTAGTTACAACCACAACCATCACATCCAACGGCAACAGTATCAACGCAAAAGAACGCCCAGGCTTCTTCAGACGTGTGTTCGGATCCAAGAACCAGGCTCCTGGACCTGCAGATTCGCCCAGCTATAACGCCAACGATCTATCATACCTCCAGGACCCCGAGCCCAAGGACAACAATGGGGCGACTGCCAACCTGAAGGCACGAAATCTACAAGCACCCAAGAGCTCTGCGGGTGCTTCTCCGTCTTCTATTCGCACAGGGCCCCCTCAGGTTGTGAACAAAAAGTCCTCGTTCTTCCGTAGAAGAAAGAAGTCGGTGGCTGACCACGTTCCTCCGCCCATTATACTTCCTCAGCATCTTGCGCCTAACAATATGGATACCATGAAGCCACAGCCAAGCCCCGTGAGCAGTCTGCGGCAGGTCATGAATCCGTATCTCGACCACGTACCAGACAACAAAGAAAATTCGGACTGGGAGGCTCAGGTACGAGAGCCATCATTCTTGCAGGCACAGAAGAAACGGGAAAGCGTATCGGCTCCTGGTGCCCCAAAAACCAGGATTTCTCTTCAGCCTTCTGCTCCCTCTCGTGGTCAAGAGAACTTGGCGCCCGCAGATACTCGTGTTCAATCGTCGAATGCTGAAGTGTCTACCGACCAGGTTCTTCAAGACAAGCCTCAGAATAATGGTGCTTCTTCAGCTTTGTCCCCCGTGGTGGAAGATTTCTCGCGCAGCGTCAAATCTACTACAGAGGCTCCTCGCATCAATGTGACCAAACTAGTACTTCCTGATGAGAAGCCCTGTGAATCTCCCGTGGAGTCTGTTTCAGAGGCGTCGCAGTATCAAACAGCTGCCAACACTCCACTTATTGAGCAAGAAGAACCCAAGGCGGCACCCGACACTGCAGACAGCACAGACGGGCCAGGTGAGGCGATCGAAGATGGGCCCACGGCGGCCGATCGAGAACAGGCCCAAAAACTCTTTGATAGCCAGGACGAGGTTGTGGGCAGTGAGCCAGCTGCTGCTTGGCTGGGCGATCCTGATCGAGCAATGATACGAGAAGCGTACATGCGACTTTTCAATTGGTCCAATCTCAACATTGTTGCAGCCCTTCGGGCTCTTTGTGAGCGTTTGGTGCTTAAGGGAGAAACCCAACAAGTCGACCGAGTACTAGATGCGTTCTCGACTCGATGGTGTGATTGCAACCCGAGTCATGGCTTTAAGGCTACTGACGTTGTTCACACCATTTGCTACTCCATTCTATTGCTCAATACCGACCTACACTTGGCTGACATCGATTCGAAGATGACCAAGTCCCAGTTCGTCCGCAACACCATGCCCACTATTCATCGAGTGGCAATGGACGCCGCCCCCGAGGGATTCGAAACCCTGCGTCCAATTCGCTCCAAAACTCAAAACCAACGCCCAGATTCTGTTTCTGCTCCTACATCGGCACGCTCTGCTACTTTCCCAGCCGATGCCAATCGTAGCTCATTGGACAAAGACAGCGAAGCTAATGTTGATGCGGGGCCATTGGTCAACACGCCATTCAATGGAACCGTGAGAGCTTGGGAGCAACAAGTTGAGATTGTTCTCAAGGACTTCTACACCTCCATTCAAAAACAAAGACTCCCTCTTTTCGGTGCTCAGCCGGAGAGAGAGGTCTCACGTATGGCGTCCAACAATTTCTTGGGTCCTTCTTCCAGCACGCTTCGCAGAAGTCCCAGCACAATCAGCAAGAGTGGCTCCGACATCTACCCCCGCGGCCGCTCAGCTGATTCGCGCCACGGAGCTGCACGATGGTCATCCAAGCCTCGCTCGCGTGCTGGCAGGTTGTATCCTCCTTCAATGATGGGCTCCAGTCGAACCAGCCTGGACGATCAATCTTCTGTTTGGAGTCCAACTGGGTCCAGCACCTGGAGTAAATATTCTCTGGGCAAGTTCACTTCAGCTTCAGTGGATTCCTTTGGCTCGGACTTCCCCCGTGGCGAATACCAGCAATCTATCGGTTTCGCCAATGCTCTGAGCCAAGCCATCATCCGCGAGGATTCAGCTACTTCCGTATACAGCTACGAGGAGCCAGCCACTCCTCTGCTTGCAGACGAGACCTTGGCCCTTGCCGGTGCCCCGTGGGCCAAAGAAGGAAGCCTCAAGCACAAGCATCATCTGGATGCGGTGGATAAGAGAGCCAAGGACCGCAACTGGAATGACTGCTTTGCGGTCATCCAACAAGGCTGGATGCGTCTTTTCTCGTTCACCAACACCACCAAATCGATGCGGGCGAAGGCCAAACAGCGCGGGGGCGTTGTGGTCGGTGGTGGCAATTGGACGGAAAATGCAGAGGAGCTTTGGAAGTTCATGCTGCGCCAGACTATCGCCAGCGCTTTGCCATCGCCTGGTTACTCCAAGTCTCGTCCTCATGTCTGGGCACTGAGTTTGCCTACCGGGGCGGTTCATCTCTTCCAGGCTGGAACCCCCGAGATTGTACGAGAATTCGTCTCCACCGCCAACTACTGGAGTGCTCGATTGTCTAAACAGCCCCTTGTTGGGGGTGTCAGCAATATCGAATATGGATGGAGTGACGCCGTCATCAACAGCGCCCTGGTTGGTGGTGAAAGTCGATCCCCGCCGCCTTCGTCGGGTGCCCGGCCGAGTATTCAGAGCTCCATCCGAAGCTCCATTGATCAACAGGGCGTGCGGCCCAGACTTCCCGCAGACCGGGTCAACATTAGTGACTGGAGTCCGCTGCAACAAAGCATGGTTGCCTCCAACTTCAACGAGGAGGAACAGCTCAAGTCTCTGCAGTCTTATGTGAAGAACGTCGAAGACGATCTTTCCAGACACAATGAACTACGTTCTGCTATGAACCTGGCCTTCTCTCCACGCCACCCCAACGCTGCCAAAGCCATGGCCAACTGGGAACGGAAATCATCCTATCTGTTGCGGGAGATTGTCAAATTCCGCACTTATATCGATTCCCTACGCAACGCTATCAATTCAAAGGAGAAGATCTACGCTTCTAGCAGCGAAAACAACACTCCAGCCGAGGAGGCGACTGTGGAGCAAACTGCAGTCGCATAAATGACTCTCCTCCTTTCCTCCGACCCTCCGAACGAACCTCCAACTTGTACATACCTTCTTGGCTTGGAACTGTCCCTGATGAATACCTCAAAGCGATCTACCGTTTTTTCCTGGTATTCGACACTACCAATTTCTGTATACTTTTCTTCTGTGGCTATAATGTTCCCTGGTGATACTTGGGGCGTGGATTACTGATTATTCTGTTTAATGCTTGGGACGGTTATGTGATGTTATGGATACCATGATTGTTTAGAATGCTATGAATCATCTGCATATTGCACGTAAAGTAGACTACAGTAGACAGCTAAGGTGTCAACTATACGTGGCAGCACATGATCCTACACATCCAGTGAGCAGTCGCTCCTTCCAGATGATGTTCAAATCTGCTTAGCTCTGTAATTCTCATCTATCACATCCATCACATCCATGACTCTGAAACTGAACCTGAACCTGAACCTGAACCTGAACCTGTGCCTGTGCCTGTGCCTGTGCCTGTGCCTGTGCCTGTGTTGATACATCCCGAAAGATGAACGCTCATTCGCCGATCGATGCGGGTAGCGAGTCGCAGGGTGTGGAGACCCAAACACGCCTAGGCACCGTCACCGTTTCAACTCCGATCAATTCACCGTCTTATGTGTCGGCATTTCAGACGCCAGGACAGTACTTGGATGATCTCAGTTCCCAATACTTCATGGCAGAGGAAGCAGGGGGTCACCCCCCCTCGGTAACAGCGCACGACGCGCCAACGGCTACGGAAAGCGAGATCGAGGACCCTGAATTTACCATGACCTCGGCGCAACTAGACCTTGATGATCACAGTTTTACTCCTTCTATGATTGACCATGACCAGAGCAGTCTATTCCCTTTATCCAGCGAGAATGGCGACCACGAACGCGCCAATAATCAGACTCTAATTGAGGAGCACGAAATGCGCCGCAAGCTGATGGACATCGAGTCGAGTTTTCTCCCAGAGCCCTCGACAATTGATGTCGCCGCGAAAGGCCATACAGCTGGCGCGGATGATACGTACCTGGTTGGAGTCCCAAAAGATCACGACGTCTCGCAGGACGATTCTTCACAGCTCTCGTTCCGTGAACCGACCCAAGCACAACACACGCAGGATCAGGAGAATGTCGGAAAGGGCGAACCAAAGATAGACGACGAGTCGGCACCTACTGGCCCTACGGAACCCGAACAAGAGCAGGAGCAGGAGCAGGAACAACATGGCGATAGTATGTTTGATTCACGCACCTCGTCGCCCTCGGCCGCAGCAGCCCTCCGCCGTAACCAGTCTACATTTTCCGAAAATGCGCCCGACAACAGCCAGTTCTCTCAAGACGAGCGCCCCTTCAGATCTGAGTTCTCTATCGCTGGAAACGAATCTCAACTCACACCCTCCAAGCTTAGAAACACTGACCGAAGCTTGTCGCCCGGCGCGTCGCGATTATTTAGTGACCAGAGCGGTAGTAGTCGCAGGGCCAGTCGGCCCAAATATCTGACTAGCCGCCAATCAGCCCATCGCCTTTCTCACTCCTCGGTCGCGAGTAACAACACGGAAACAACAAACAGCGATGCTACATTGGGTGCGGACTATGCTCTTCAAACTGGAGGTGCAATCCCCGAAAACTGGGGTGGCCTCCACGCTCCAAGTCGGGCTCATATGACAAGGACTACTAGCCTTGGAAGCATGGCATCAGGTGTCTCTGGATATAGTGAAGAGAACTCCGTGGAGAAGCGCAATACAAGTGGTCCAACAGATAAAGGCCTTCATACATTGGAGGAGGAGAGCTCGCCACGGTCTCGAGCTGGCTCCCAGGAACAAGCCAACTACGATGATGTATCTGCACCGGTGACGCCAAAGGCGAAACCACAAGACAGAAATCCCCCTACCGATACAGCAATTGCAGAGCGCGTCAAAGGGATTCAAATTCCTACTAGCTTTGCGCAGCGGTTCCGGGAAGACTTCCAGCCGTCTCCTGAGAAGAGGCCTGGTGCGTCAACTCCGGCATTTGGCAAAAGTGGCCGGACTTTGACTCTCAAGGAGCAGAGCAGCACCATTGACAGACTCTCAAAGGATAACTTTGACCTTAAAATGCGAGTCCATTTCCTCAATGAGGCGCTGAACAGACGCTCCGAGGAAGGTATTAAAGAGATGATCGGGGAGAATGTTGAGCTTAAGTCCGACAAGGTCAAACTTCAAAAGGATAACCAAAGCTTGAAGCGCAAGATCCGGGACTTGGAAAAGCAAGTCAAGGAGCAGCAGTCAGACAAGGAATCTATGGTCAACCATGACCCCGATGGGTCAGAGGACGGCGATCGTGATTCAGCGCAGGATGGGGAGATTGTCTTCCTGCGTGAGCGTGTTGAAACTTTTGAGCTCGAGATTGAGCGCATGAGGTCAGAAAGCATTGCGAGAGAAAGTGAGAAGCGACGATTGGCTGAGATGGTCAAGTCACTCAGCGAGAACCGCGCTGGCGAGTCTGATGCCGGTGCGAGGGAAGAGCGAGTAAGTCATACGCAAATAATCGATATTTTCCAGGCTAATCAGCTGTGCAGGACATGTGGAAGGACATGCTTGACGCAGAAACCTCCGCGCGTGAGCAGGCTGAGGATGAGAACCGGAGACTTCGTGATGAGTCGATCCGTCTGCGGAGTGAGATGTATTCGACTGCCAAGTCTAATCAGCATCAAAGTGAGGTTTCATACTTCTCTGACAGAGATGGCAACCGCGTTCCGGCTACCAGCAGCACCCTTATTGTGGAGCTGGGCCTCTTGAAACAGGAGAACGCGGAGCTGAGAAAGGAGGTCAGCGCTCAAACTTCAATGCTCACATCTCGCAACCGCGAGAAGGAACGTCTCTACCAGGAGATTGAAGAATTGAAAATGGGTCAGCGTCGCGACACTGGCCGATCAGTGGCCGGCGACAGTATCTTTGATCGCTCCGCCTCGCGCGCCCATATCCGACCATCGTCTCAGGCTAGCGACGGAGGCTTGTCTCGCAGCGACCTGGACCGTGATGAGCTCGAAGCCCGGAATGGACATCTGCGGGACCAAGTCTCAACTCTCAAACTCGATAACCAAGCCCTGCGAGCCCAGGTCGAGGAATATTCCGGAGAACTGGAGGCTCTTGACAAGGCATATCAGGCGGATGTTGATCAAGCCGAGGAAGAGATTCAAGGCCTCACCCAGGAACGAGACCACGCCATGCAAATCGCAGATGAACGGGATGCCGCCTTCCAGGACCTGCGAGCCGAGGCGCAGGATGAGTTAGATAATCTCGGAGACGAGCTTGATCAAAAGATCATGGAGTGCCAGCGCATGAATGAGGACCTAAGAAACCAGGATGAAAGTCTCAAGGTTTTGCAAGCGGAAATGCGTTCTGCCAGCGAGGGTATCATCCGTCTCGAGGAAGATGCACAGAACAACTTGGCGGCATACAAGTCCGTGCAGCAAGAGCTCGAGGAAACCAACCGCGAGATGGAATCTGTGGAGAAGAGTCTCTTCGAGGCCAACACCAAGGTCCAACGACTGACGGTGCAAATCGAGTCGAGTCAGAATGAGATTGCTTTCCTCCGGGAAGAGCAAGATGGCGACAAGATCCGCATTGGCGACCTCGAGTCGGAGCTCAAGAACTATCACATGAGCTTAATGAGTGAGAAGGAGAAGACCAGGGAGCTCGAGCAACGACTGGCCGATGAAAGACACCAGCGAGAGGTGGTTGGCAGTAAGGAGAAGCAAGATGTTCAGCGCATCATGAATGAGCTGAACCGCGAAGCCTCTGCTGCCAAGGAGGAAGTCCGGCGATTGAAAAAGAGCCTCTCCGCGCAGGAGATTGAAACTTCTACCTGGCGAGAACGTCTGATGGACCTTGAGAACAACTTGAGAGAAACTCTGGGTGATCTTAGCGGCAGCCGATCCAGCTTGATCACCAATATCATGAAGCTGCAAAAGGAGCTCGAGTCAACTGCACTTGAGCTGGAGAGCATACGCTCCCAGTTAGACGAGAAGGAGACACTGCTTCGCAACCGCGACGCTCTGCTCGAAAGCCATGGACTTGAGTCTCGCAAACTTTCGGAACTACTGGAACGCGAACGCCAAGCACGTCGGGCAGACAAGCAGTCCTTTGAATCATCGCTCAAATCTCACCAACAAGCTTCGCGCACCATTACACAGAACAACTCCCGCATCACAGATCTGGAGAATGCTCGTACTCAGGACCGCAAGCGATATGCATCGCTGGAGCAGCAATTCAAGGACCAGCTTAACGAGCGCAACACCATGTTCCTCACTATCTGGAAGAGGATGTCTGGGCTTTGCGGGCCAGACTGGGCGCACTCCAACAGTCTTATCAATGGCAATCTCCCCAGCCAAGAGGTCATTGGTAACATTCTTTTCTGGCCTGGCTTCAGCCGCAACTTGTTGCTTGCGATGAAGACCGTCGAGGCTGTGATTGCTGGATTCAAGAGCCGTATCAAGTCCATTGATCACGAGATGACCAAGCGCTACCACACTCTGGAGCAGTCGTATAATGGACGGATCCGCAAGCTCGAGCGTATTGAAGAGGCAGTCAAAAACATGCGAACCAGCCGTGGCCAGTCGGGCTCCTCGCCAGAGATCTCCAAGCTGCGCGGTGAGAACCGACTCCTGAAAGCCGAACTGAACCTGATTCAAACCAATTCACGCGGACATGCATCTGCCGCTGCGTCTGCAGTGATGGGATCAGGACCCCGATCCCCGTCCGTAGCGTCAGCAGCAGATCCGGAACGCACTTTGGCACGTCAAAACTCCACAGCCAGTGACAGACCTCGTCCAGAGAGGACTCTCACTCGCAGTGCTACGGGTCTTCCACAGCCCTCTCACTCCTCGTCCAGTAGCACGTTGACCAACAATGCTGGAGCAATGGTCCATCGCACGCGCAGCTCGCAAGGCGGATGGGATACCAGTGATGAGAAATGGGTTCACCGTCTTCATGAATTGGAGAAGCGACTGAAATCCGAGCGTGAAGGTCGTCTCTTGGACCGCAGTGGCGCTCGCAAGCGACTCGAGGAGCGTGATGCCGAGAACCAAAAGCTTCGAGACCAGCTCAGCCGGGAACGCACACGGCGTGGCCCTTCAGGACCTGTTCCAGCTGGTAGCAATCGTCGACCCCCTACCTCGGATGAAGCGCCTAGCTCCAGTGAAGGAGAGGGCATCACGGTAGACATCGAGGTCTGATTTGTTGCCTGGCGCTGCGGTTCACCCCTGTACTATATACCCCCCCTCGTCGGAGTTTGTTTCGCCTATTCCACATCCACATTACACTTATCGCATATGCTTGCAATGATCATTCACGAGGGTCATGAGAGGAAGGCGTTTCTGTTTTATGGGAGTTTGCAACATCCTATTATGTTTTCGTTTCTTGTTATGTACTCTATAGAAGTACATATCTTTTATCCCGGTGATAATTTTAAATCAAGCATTGTATGATACACGCCACCTCTACCGCAACGACACCTTCAGCGAGAAATCCACAATCCCCGTTCCCTGGTGAATAGAACTCGTAGACAAGATATCCACATCAGGACAGACATACGACGGCGCATTCTCCTCAGTCAACCCTCCACTAACCTCAATCAAGAATGCTCTCTTAGCCGCCCACTCCCTTTTCAACAAAGCAGCAGCCTCCCGCACCCCCTCCGCAGTAAAGTTATCCAACATAATCACATCCGCCCCAGCCCCAATAGCAGCATTCGCCTCCTCAACACTCCGACACTCAACCTCAACCTTGGTCGAAAACCCGCCAGTAGCCTTAGCAGCCGCCACAGCCCGCGGGATCGCAGCCGCAATCGACTCAATAGATGACGGATCTGCTACTCCCCCATCGGCAGCAGCCCGGTTATTCGCACACGCCCATACATGGTTATCCTTCAGCATAGTCATCGAGCTCAAATCGTGTCGGTGCGGGTCCGCGCCGCCGGCTAGCATGCCGTATTTCTCCACGAGCCGGAAACCGGGTGTTGTCTTGCGCGTTCCGGCTAGGGTTCCTTGCCAGCCTTGGGCGCGGAGTGCGGAGAGCATTGAGGCGCTTTTGCTGGCGATTCCCGAACAGCGCGCTAGGATGTTTAGGGCGACGCGTTCGCCGAGGAGGATCTTGCGGATCGGCCCGCGGACTGTTGCGCAGTGCTGGATTGGGGTTAATGTTTCGCCTTCTTTGACGTGCCATTCGATTCTAGGTTTGTTAGTTTGCTGTTTTGTAGGGGTGTAGTGTGGGGTTGGAGTATTGGACGTACGTGCAGCCTAGTTGGGTGAAGACTTCGTCGAAGAATGGTACGCCGGCGACGATGCCCTGTTTCGTGGTTCGCTTGTTGGTAACTTTATGTGGCATTGGGTTATATGTACATGGGGCTGCTTACCTTGCTCTTGCCCAGTAGGCGTGCTTCACCTTCTGACTCTCCAACGACGAAGCCGCCATAGTCCAGACTGGGACAGTCCTCTTCCAGCCAGGATGTAACGAGGCCCTTGTAGTTACCGGGCAGTAGATGCCGCAGATCACCGTGAGTCAAGGCCATTGTAAATTCGCTGGCGATTTTGTAAGAGTCTAGGGGTGTAGATCAATTAGAGCCCTAGAGGTCTGTGAATGTTATCGAGTATGGAAATTCCCCGCGCGGGGTGCGTCGGCCGGGAAATCCTCGGGGTTCTCCGATTCCGGCCGATGTCACGTGGAACTATACATGTACATTGGCCGTTGGGACATTGAACTGCTTTGCTTCCGGCTAATTAGGGGGCATATTTTGCTAGCTTTGGAATATGGTTGCATTAGGAACCAGCTAGCTTCATAGCTTCCCCCCATGATCGTCTGACCGTCTTCTGTCGCCACAGACTCCATCCTAGCCGATATGCCTGTTTAGCCCTTCACTAAAACTTTCAGTAGAGGAAGTGCGGGTCTAGACAGGTAATTTCAGATCTCTCACTGCCCTTTGTGTTTTATGGTAATCATGGATCAGTTCTCCAAAGTCCATGTAGATCATCGACTCCATACATAATCTTCGCGAAAGTGCATAGAATGTAGCATAAAACAGCCCAACTAGGAAAACAGTCGATCATCCATCCACAAATCCGATAATTATCACTAGCAAATCCGATAGACCCTCTCAATCTTCAAGCATATACATTCAGAACCGTTCGACGCCATCAAGTCGCATTATCGGATCCATGCTCGGCACTATACCCCTATAAGCCCACAGTCTAAGCCTGCAAATCCACAACCAAGATAGTCAACCTGACTAGTGAGCAGATCCTTCGATCCAGGCCTAATTGGGTACCATACAGGTGAAGAAACATCCGTGTTATGTATATCCGTGTTATATCCGGAAGCAAATCCGGTTCTAGGTGCCGTTCTCCGGAGGAGTCAACACTCGGGAAATGGCATCGAACGGAATCCCTATGGGGCTTGGTGGATCCGTTGCCGAGCTTTCTCATTTGGGCATTTTTCGAGAATCCTCGAACGCTTTGGCTTTCGGAATTGCTTTGAAATTTAGTTATCTGGTTTCTGTTTCAGGGGTTTAAATATGATACGCGTTGAAACTAGGAATGGCTATTTTCGATTTTTTCGATTATATATTTTATATTTTATATCTCCAATTTTAATTTGGTTTTAATTTCTGTTCAGACGATAAAACCTGATAGTGTCACGGGCCGAATATCGGATCGGGCAGATGTCACGGAACTCAAAACTCGGGATTGTTTGGAATTTTACTTCCGTCAGATCTGATATGTTTGGTCCCTGTTTGCTATGTTTGCCATGTTTGCGGTTTGCCGCGAATCTCCACACCAGAGGTCTAAGCCTTCCACGACTTGTACACATTCTTGCATCCAAAGATCTGACCCTGCCGAAGCAGAACCATAGACCGCCACTCGGGCTCATTGATGGCATTGACGAACCGACTAGGCTCAACACAGAACCCAGCACCCTCATGGTGAGCTGGGGCGCCATTGATCTCGGGCACCTTGATATACTTGCCCGTGTAGAATTGGAATGCTGGCTCCGTGCTGTGAACCTCGAGATGGAGGCCCGTGCTTGCGTTGCTGAACTGCGCCAGGCGGCGCAGCGGCAGGCCACGTGTGTCCAGCGGGATCTTGGAGGCATCCTTCTCCATGACGAAGACGTCGTCGATGTGAGCGCCTGTGGCGGTCAGCTCGAAGGGCTTGGTCACATCGCGTGAGAACTTGGCAATTCCGCCTGATGGGATGCCGGTGTCGTCCAAAGGTAGGTAGTCAGCTGTGGCGAGTTGGGCGGTGGTGCCCGATATGTCGGGACCAGAACCGATGTTGAAGTAGCTGAATGCTTGTGAGTGGATGTTTCTGACATATGCTTTGGGGTAGGGTGAGATCTTACCTGTGGTTGGTGAGGTTGACAACGGTCTCGTCACACTCATCACCAATGAATTCCACCTCGTACTCTGCCGTCAGCACGGTCTTGGCGGCCCCGTCATCTTCCTTGCTGGCGGTGTACCATACGCGCACTTCAACAGTGCCCGGGTACCCCTCCTCACCGTCTCGGCAAAGGTACTTGAACAGTAGGGCATCATGACTGTGGCGCTTGACGGTGTAGGGGCCGTCAAAGACACGCTTTCCCCAGCCCTGTTCACCGCCATGCAGCGCGTTGGGACCGTTGTTCTTTGTCAGCTTGTACTCCCGACCATTCAGGTTCTGGATAAGGCCATCCTTGATACGATTGGCGACACGGCCAATCGTGGCACCATAATGCGGGGTGTTGTGTTTGACATAGTCGTCCTGTGTTGGGAAGCCTAGGACGATATTCTTGTCACCGACACGGAACTCCTGGATGATGGCGCCCAAAGGCAGGAAGGTAAATGCGGCTTGCTCAGGGACAGACATGGTTGATATTCCAAGTTAGTGGGGGAGGAAGGTTATTATTCTCAGGGTCGACATGACGTTTGGAACCCCGCAATCTGCGGGATCAATCTCCGTTTAGCATAAATGTTGAGGGATTCAGGGATTAGGCTAAACAGGAGCTTGAGCTCCAATTACCCGGCCCATGTTGGATATCACTTTTCAGACCATGTGCAGTTCACGTGTTTATAGATCCAGGTATACTCGTACTTTGTATAAGTTTAACTTCGGGCTCGGACTTGGCTGCCCGGGACTAGGGACAGTCAGCATCCGGTCGGACAAAACGGGGTTCCGGTGCCCGAAGGATTTCTACCCCGGAGTGCCAAGTGCCAACTTTTGCCAAACCATCAATATTGGGGCATTGGTTTAGGCAGGCATTTTTTTCGGTGGACCAACGGGCGAAACAGGTTTCGGCCGTTTCAGGGGTTCATAAGAATTACATGTACGAAACCGAATACGATGGTTTATACTAGCCGGACAAAGTGTCTACGCACACTTGGCATGCACTCCATATTATGAATCCAAAAAAAAAGAAAAAAGGAAAGAAAAAAAAAACGAAAAGAGATCGGAATATGAAACCTCGTGAATCGGGAAGTCGGCATTTCGGCGACTTTCTCAACATATAAGAAAGAAATGGCTCAAATGTCAAATGCCTCAAGTGGGTTCCGCTGAGTCAACTCCGATTCATAATCAGTAATCTCTTAACCCCGAATTATACCCGGGGCTGACTGGGATTAGTCAACACTAATCGATGAGGAGACAGGGCGGATTGTGGAGCATGTAGTATAGGCTCGGCACCCAACTCCGGTCCCTGAATTGCTTCTAGAAAAAAAAAAGATGAGACGGTGCGACAGAACTTCATTAGATTGGAATTAAAACATGTAGGGTATGACGCCCCCCGCCTTTTTGAAACGCCCCCAAACCCATTCACTGTACATAGACCCAATTGCGCCTGAAACCGGGGGGGTAATAGCCCCAGAGAGAAGAGAGAATGAAACATGTACGGTATACATGCGTCGTCATACGGCATTAAAGTCGAGAACCTCAGATCCCTCAGAGAGAGGTTATTTCCGTAGGGTTCGGATTCAAGAACTGATTGAAATCATCGTAGTCGTTCTTGGAATCTAGATATGACCCTTGTGACATGCAGTTCATAGGCACCTGGCGGTTGAATATGGGTGAAGACAGCTGCTGGTCGTCGAAAGGCAGATGAGAGTAATCGGCGGGCATCAGGTCCATATCATCGAACGGGTTGAACCCATTGCCAGGCCACTGTTGATCTTGCAGAGCCAAGGGATTGACAACCCCCATAGGCATCGGCTGCGCAAACTGTGGAGTGTTGGGCATCTGCGGCTCAGTCTTGATGGGTGCGCGTGCCGATGGGCTATATGTGGGCGGTGTTGGCGGCATGGTGTGCTGCGAGAAGGCATCGGATGAGAAGCGCGAGCGGGCGGGGGACTGTGGACTATCAGAGCCTCCGTCGGATGATTCTTGTCGCTGCATGCCTGTGTTGGTGCGCCATAGATCCTGCTGCAGGGCTTCGGGGTGCTCTTCAAAACGCTCGCCTTTGCTGCCATCGAGGGCGCCGAGACGCATCAGCAGGTCGTGTGTAAGTGGGTGGCCGTTGGGTTCGAGCTTCAGCTGCTCGCCAGGCCAGCCTTCGCCTTCGAGATTGCGTCGATATAGTTCCTGGAGACCGTTGACTAGCCAGGCTTGTTGCTGCTCGAGCATTTCAACATATCTAGAGGAGATCGTAGTTAGTATTGATTTGAACGAAAGTATATAGCTTGTATCAGCTCACCCCTTGGGGTACACCTTATCATGCGCCTTCTTTCGTTCCCCAAAGACGCAGATAGCGTTATCAGCTCGGCATCGCGAGCAAGGGCTAGATCCGTCACACTGTCCGGGTCAGTGTATGGACGATTGCTCGTCTTCTATGTGCTACATACCTTGGATTTCTTCAGACGACACCGATCGCAGGCCTTGCATACTCTTTTGCGAATTCCACCGTCGGAATGCGAATGCTCCGAGGCTGGTGTTGATTGGCGCGCTGCCATAATGTATATAGGGAAAGATGTCGAGGACAAAGATATAATGACCCGGGTTTTGGGGGGCGGGTGGTTTTGAGCTTTCAAGCTATACTTCCAGATCCGGCGAGTACCAGGACTGATCGACGTCAATCACGGTCAATGATATAATAATGTCGAGGATGGAAACCAGACTCTTGAAGATAATTAAGTTATAGAGTAGACGGAAGCAGATGATCTTTGGGTCAGAAAAGGGGAGCAGTGCATATATAAGGACTTGGAAAAGAGGGGGGGGAGTGCTGCGGATTTACAACTAATTTTGATTACAAGAGTCATGGATTATTGTACTGTACATGTAGAAGCATAAGATCGGATCGAATCATAACGTGTACTCCACTCATTTTTTCCTGGTTTTTTTTTAATCATTTTTTTAAATCATTTTTTCTTTCACGATTACTCGAAGTGGAGAAGTCTGGAAGACTCGGCTTTTGGTCAGAGTTCGCTAGTCAACGGAGACGGAGCTTCCTGTTCGGCCTTCGGAGTCTTTCTGACGTACTTCCGAATGGACTACACTTCCGGAATACGATCATTGGGACAATTAGTGGTTATTATAGAAAGTATAGAACGTTATTTAGAAAGTATACGTGAATGTCCCGAGCGAACATAATATGTCTATAGGTCTAATGTTTAGCGTCAACTGCATAATAACGTGTATTATTCTATGCACGGCGACTCGGCAAGACCTTGCCGAGGGATATCTTCCGTGGGGTAGAAATGTAAGGAATTTCAAAGCTCTTACACCACCTGAGTAATAAGCAGCTATCGAGGTAACAACCTAAGTACTAAGTACTCGTAAACCGAAATCGTGATTCATCACCTGATTACCAATGAAGCATAATCTGAGTAATCATGCGCCACTCGAGTCCATGACGTTAACCACTCTAACCTGATCTTAATCCCCCGGATCTGCTCGTACAGAATCTTGGTCATGTTTAATGTTGCATCATCAAGCCTAGACCAGGGTTACTACTTGTTCTCTCTCGGCTCACATTCCGGCTTCGAATTCTGCGCGATGCATTACTTCATTGTCCACAAAGCTTGGCGGAAGGCCTTACCACTTCAGGCAATGCATGAATCCGGAAATATGCAGCGGATACCCTCATTGGCTCTGGTCAAAATAGTGCCTGGTCGTTGCCATATGGTCTCGGGCCATTCGATCCGTGGAGAACTAAATGTCCCTGGTCCCCCCGGAGACACGTTCCGAGTCCATTCGCGCCAAAGGTGGGCTCGGGTTGCTCTCGATATACTTCCATGTACAACATGTCGATGTTCCCAGGGAGACGATTTATGTACATGGTACCTTGAACTCTCAGGACTGCTAATATACAGGGATATACAGATAGATATACAGACAATGATCCTAACGGAAGCAACAGAGACAATGCTTTCTTGTTTGTTTTTCTGTCCTAGTCATTGCATTCTGTTCCCGGACCTGTTCGTATGGTTCCGTTGTCTTCCGACGTTTGATGAATCGCCAGACGCGACTTCGGGTTCGACCCTCGACCGTGGCATCTACACTGGTCGGCGGTAAGGCTGTCGTGTGCACCGGTTCTGCACATTGGGGAGGACGTGGTGTATCTTGTTGGCAATGAACTCGACGGGCTTCGACAACGCGACGGACCAGGTCTACCACCGTTAGCCTTTTTCTTGTTGACTGTCATGATGCGCCTACGGGAAAATGTCTCTTCGATGTTAACCATTTCGCGCGCGCTGGTCTCCATGAATCCGCATCCGTGTTTGCGCGCATACTCGAGCCCGTCGCGTGAGGTCACCGCGCGATCATCTTTCAGATCGCATTTGTTGCCGGCGAGAATCTTGACCGGCGGTGGCATGCCGATTTGTGTCCCTGCAGCCTGGGGCCCGAGTTCTTTGCGCAATCGCTCGTTGTCCTCCACGCGCTGCTCCGCCTCCATATTGATCATGTCCATGAAATGGTCCAGCGTTTCGAGACTTGAGGGATTGGTGATATCGTAGACCAGGAGGAAGGCATCGGATTTCAGCGTAGAGGCCGTCCATAGGCCGCGGTATTCCTCCTGGCCCGCTGTATCAGTGATAGAGAGGAAGTAGGGGAGACCATCGACATTGCGGGTAACGGAGTACGAGTCCTCTGCAATCGATCAGACGTGAACTCGCTGCATCGGGGGGCTGCCATACCAATTGTTGGGTCATATCTAAAGATGAGCTATCAGAGATTGCTTCCTGCAGGGGCAGTGAGACTCACTCATGAATCCATTGACTGTGGACCAGCCGCAGGGTGATGGACGATTTGCCTGAATCCCGATCTGATCAGATCTCGATCGCGCACCAGACCCGGAGAGGCGGCACCGAATCACGGTATCGGGATATTCCCGGGAGAAGAAGAAGGTTGCTGCAACGTACCGCATCCGCCATCTCCACAGATGGTGATTGAGATCTTGTCCATGGCCACGCTATGGGGAACCGTGGGGGGACATTGGAGATCAAAACAAGGAGAGAAGAGAGGAAGAAGGTAAGAGAAGAGAGGAAAAGGGGCTAGCTAAGATAAGAGAGCCCTTATGCATGAAATATACCTGAAGTAGCTGCTTCAGGTTTCACTCAATAGCGTCTGATCTTGTATCACTACGATCTTTTGACTGCTGGAGATATTTGTGTCGACAGTTTAGTTAGCATTTGTGATAGATCAACTGCGATTTTGCCTCTTGACACTTTCCCACCTTTTCCTTCCTCTAGACACAGACACAACTCAACTCAACCCAGAGAGCTGAACACAGATATACAGAAACATTAACTTATGCCTTTTGTTGAGTTCTCGAATCCACAACAAATCTCATCTCTGGGTTTGTTGGTTGCTTATTGGCGCTCAGTACTTCTCCGGGGTCCACACAAAGTGACAGGGTACTTTTGAGAAGAGGAGAGACACCCTTTTGCCTTCTCTCAGAGAGGGCTACAACTACTGACCACCAAGACCTCGAAGATATAGAGACCTCAGAGACCACAGGGACCACAGAGACCACAGGGACCACAGAGACCACAGGGACTGAGACCAAAGACCAAACGCCCAAACACCAACAGTGGAGGTCCCTAGCTAACCCGGGGCTCTGGAACTCAGTCCGGGCGTTGCATTCAACCCCACGGACTTTATGGCCAACTCTATGAACTTCAACCTTGACTACGGTCCTGATGAATCTCAGGACTCCGGGGGTTCACAGCCCCTGCACGATCCTTCCTACATGGCCTTTCCCACCCATGTCGGCAATTATGCCTTTAGCGCCATGTTACCCCAGGACGTCAATCTACCCGTGCAGAGCTTCGAACGGCCACCCCAGGATCTGGAAGGACGCATGTCTAATGTCATGCTCGCCTACGACTCGATGCCTAACCCGGTCTCAATGCCCACAAACCTGGATCCCAACAGCGCCTATGCCTACAGTATCCCGACAACCTACCCGGCAACCTCCATGGGCCTCACGCAGTTGGAACAGCCACAGTTCCAGCCCGCCTACCAGTCCTTCCCACAATCAATGCCGGTCTCCTACTACCCCCAGACCCATTCTCAGCTTCCACAGCCGCACCCGCAGCCGGCCCCGCTAGCACACAAGGAACCCCACGATACAAGCACCGATGCCACGGCCAATTTTGACGACTCGGATTTTTCAGGCCAGATGAGTGACCGGTCGCAGTTGCAGATGCAGCCGCGTCCTCATCGGCCCCCACCCCAGGAGCGCCGGCTGCAGCCTGCAAGCCCGTACCGTGCCTCACAACCGGTCGCGATCCAGCCCAAGAAACCCGTCCCCGCTAAAGGTGAGTTGTGCGCCCGGTACTCGAGCCGTTGGCTCTGGCACAGGGTATGACTGACGCGGAGACTGCGCCTCCAGGTGTTATCGCGTCGGGGCTGGAAAAGCCCGATATTGGCAAGACCGAGCATACCGGTATTTACTCGAGTAGTGGATTTGATGTACTGGGTGCTTTGGTACGTTTTGTAAATGCGTCGTGATAACGATATTTACTAAACCGATCCAGGGTCGTGTGGCAATGCGCCCGAATCCTAGAATCAACATTGGTGCAGTCGATCTATCCTGTGCCTTTGTGATGTGTGATATCTTACGCGAAGATCAGCCCATTATATATGTCTCAGAGGCCTTTGAACGATTAACAGGCTATAACAAGGAGGAGATTATTGGTCGGAACTGTCGATTCCTTCAAGGGCCTGATGGCAAGATCTCCCCTGGTGCGAAGCGGACCTTTGTTGATGGACAGACGGTCTACCGGCTGCGGTCGACCATTGATGATCGCAGTGAGATCCAAGCAAGTATAATTAACTATCGCAAGGGCGGACAGCCGTTTATGAATCTCATCACGATGATCCCTATCCAGTGGGACTCGGAGGAGTATCGGTTTTACGTCGGGTTCCAGGTCGACCTGGTTGAAAAGCCCGATGCCGTTACGAGGAGAAACCCTGGTATGCCTGAATTGCTTCATGGAGAGTGCCTCTACTGACGGCTACGCAGATGGCACTTATAGCATTAACTATCAACGGGATCAACTGCCTCAGTATGTGGTCCCGCCGCCAGACGCGTACACAACTAGGCCAGACCTCGTGGCGCAATTTGGTCATGATGAAGTGACTGCCATTCTCAATGCAGTGAGTGCATCTGGCAATGAAGTCAGCCGTCACTACTTGGATCGCATTTTGGTTGAGAATACCGATGATGTGATCCACGTGGTTTCGTTCAACGGTGAATTCCTGTATTTATCGCCGTCTTGCCAAAAGATTCTCGAGTATGACCCGGTCGAGCTGGTTGGCAAGACCTTGTCTACGATCTGCCATCCTAGCGATATTGGTCCCGTGATGCGTGACTTGAGGGCGAGCACGACACCTGCTCCAGTGAGTGTGGTATATCGTATCAGACAAAAGTACCGGGGATACATGTGGTTCGAGAGTCATGGTGCATGGCACATTGACCGGAGTCATGGCCGAAGACATCTTGTCCTGACCGGCCGTCCTCGACCGGTCTACGCACTGGATCAAATTGCCCGACTGGGCTCGTCTGCCGCGCTGGCTGAAAACGATATCTGGGCCAAGATTTCTCTGTCCGGTGTCATTCTGTTCATCACTACTAAAGTGAAGCCGGTCCTCGGCCGTTCGCCCGATGATTTTATTGGAAAGGGCTTACAGGAGATCATGGAGCCCGAGTGGGGTGGTCCTGCCACAATCACACAAGTCCTGGATGCGGCGTCTCGTGGCCAGGGGGCGGGCATGACCGCCGTCGCGGGCAGCAACAAGGACACCGAGGATTTCCCGTCTTTCAGGCACCAGATGCGGCACAAGAAAGGACACGTCCTCTCGGCACATACTACTATATACACTGGTGATGCCAGGAAAGGAGTCAAACCGTCCTTCCTTGTCGCTCAGATTCGGTTTGCTCGATCTTTCCCTCCATCCTCCACCGCTATAACAGCCGCCGGGGACGAAAACCTTGCTGCGATCCCCGGCACCGCACGAAACACGACCCTCACCGTTGATGACCCTCTACCGCCCCGCCAATACGGAGCTCTTGGTCAACGAATGCCCGACCTCTCAAACCTCATTGGACTCAACGGTCTGCCAACTGGGAACCGCAGCATCTCATCCTCTGCCGACCCAGCAACCTTCTTCACAGAACTCAACCCCACCCGCGGATCAAGCTGGCAAATCGAGCTGCGCGAACTGGAGAAGCAGAACCGCACTCTGGCAGATGAACTGCAACGTCTGCTGGCCCGACGCAAGAAGCGCAAGCGCAAGCAGAGCGCTGCCTCCGTAGAAAAGGCGTGCGCCATGTGCAGGACCAAGGCTACTCCAGAGTGGCGCCGCGGTCCTAGTGGAAATCGTGATCTTTGCAACAGTTGTGGTCTGCGGTGGGCCAAGCAAGTCCGTGGTCAGGCGCAGGCGCAGGCTGGAGCTTCTGCGTCGGCAGTTGCGGGTGCTTGAAACTTATAAACCAGTGTCTGTCTAAGTTCTGGCTTTAGTTTCGTAACATGAATCCCCCTTTTTTTTTTTTTTGGAGAGCTGGTTTCTTGATACCCCCATTGACTTGGTTGAAATTGCCACAAGTGTTGTCTTTCAAGCCAAGTTGGTGTTATATTGTTTTCATATGCATCATGTCTTGTTGATTTCTCTGAATGTCAGCAAATGTTGCCAATTTGATATTACGGAATTTACTTAAACAATCAGCCACTCCACGTCTCGAAATTCCAATGCCGATCAATTCAGATAATCATGCTCTATGTGGAACTCTTGGTAGACCTTGATAGCAGCACGATTTCCCAACATATTATGTTGAGATTTAAAATGGTTGAAATTAATACAAAGGATCCTCTAGAAGCAATTATACTGTACAGACAGAGGGAGTCCTCAAGGTCCGCAGCCCCAGAGCTACTGCTTCTTGGACTTTGGGCTGCCTCCACGAATAGCCAGCCACTGCTCCAGCCAGCGCCTTTCGACATTCTCCGCCTGGCTGCGGTCTTTGGCCCTGGCCGAGACATCAACTCCACCACGCTCTTCAACCGCGATCCGAACCTCGGCGGCATTCATAGCTCGAACGCCGCCGCCAGCACGAATCATCCCGTCATCAATGGCCAGGTACTCAACATGCCGCGCGAGCCGGGGTCGATAGATCATACCAGCCAGAAGTGTCCCGGCAGCTCGGTCATGACGCTTGACCAGACCAAAAACAGCAGCGGCACGCAGCACAGAGGCAGGGTCAGCGCTCGCCGCCCAAGCTGGGTCGGCAAATTGCTTAGCGAGAAGATGCAATTGCTCATCACTACTAGATCGAAGCAGGTTCAAAGAGTTGTCCTTGGAGGCAGTCACATGAACGTCCAGCGCAGCGATTTTTCTCTTGGTTGCGCTATCGCGTTCCTTCTCTACCTGCGAGGGGACTCGGCATGTAGCTGGAGTAATGGCGGACCCGAAGATTGGGACAATCAGCGGCGTGAATTCCCCGCAGACAATCAAGATCATTGTGAAGGGGATCATGCGCCGGACATCACGAGCTGAGCGGCAGACAAGCTGGAATTGCGCCCGTCCTAGTCGTGATTCTTTTCTTATTGAAGGGGCATTGGCGTTGTTGTGTGAGACTGTCCGTGGAGGAGACACGGGAAGATATACTGAGAGACCCAGCTCTTTCCGGAGGGGAATTGAGATGCGGTAGTTCCGGTACACATTCTTCAAGCCTGTCTTGTAGAAGGTGAGGTATGTGCGGCCGATTTCAACAAAGCGTTTCAGCTTGTCCGGAAGTCCAGCGGATGGAGAGATGGGAGCAGGGGTGACGATTTCGGCGGGAAAGGTGCTGCTAGGAGCATTGACCTCATTTTTAGAAGGCGCTGTGACTATAGTGGTAGATGAGACGGAGGAGGAAGGTGATGATGGGGAGGGTCGACGAGATTGTTGACTTGAAGCCGAGG